TATTTCAAGTGGCATTAAAAAGTCTTAAAAAGTCTTGAATTTAACTTGCCTTATGCTGTAGGAACCCTGTAAAGTGAAGCATCATCTCCTGGCCAGACCCTGTAAATCAGTGAAAGGGTGGAGTCAGAGAAAAAAAACATGCATGCCCAGGAGAAGGCTAGTGACTGGAAGGTGGAGGGGATTTAGCTGGGAGTTGCAGCGAAGCGGGCTGCCGCTCGGCTGCATTCCACTGGGAAGGGTCATTTTGAATGGCTGCTGCTGTTAATGACTGTATACTAGGAGCAAAGTGTTAACTTACCAGTCCAAGTATAAAGTTAAAAAAAGAGAATCGGTTTTACATCGGGCTACTTCTTTCATTCTTTGCTAAGATCCTTTCCAAGATCAACTCTTGTTTTTCCTCTATCTCTGTCACATTTTCTCTTTTTAACCTCCTCAGAAGGTTCAAAGTTTTTCCTTGCCTCAGCCATGATCAGTTGCCCAGAAAGTGGAAAAATAGTAGAGCAAAAGCCTCGGTTCCATGACAATACAATTCTTCCAGGTCACATGACCTCATCAATATTGGTGCGTCTTCTCCCAACTTACATAGTCGGTATTTCAAAAGGGGGGCCCCACTCGTAGCATTGATAGTGTCAAGCGCTGAACATTGGCCTGAGGAATCATTTAAAATAACTTATTGTCTTTAAATAAGAATTTTTACGAAATTAAAACAGATGCGACTAAAACTTTTCTACTTATTTTACTTACTTTATATTCTCTATACTCATACATTTATCGATTAATAAATTAGTTGATTATTTAAATAATTTTAACTAATAGTTTCAGCCCTACTGTGCATTCAGTCTATGTGTTTGAATCTGTATAGCAAAGATCTGATTGTGCATATCTATGCTATGTGTACATTTAGGTGTCTGATGGGAATTTGACGGTGCTATCCATCACCCGGGAAGATCGGGGGCCCTACACATGCCGAGCCTTTAGCCTCCAGGGGGAGGCCGTCCACACAACCAGGCTGCTAGTACAAGGTGTGTTCAAGGTTTTTAGTGACTCAGCCTGTCAAGATCCTCATCTACTCTTCTTTGCTTAAACACACAAATAATGTGAAGCGGGACTGTATGCTGAGACAGTCGTTAGAAGCCTGGACTTGATCCTAGCCTGAGGTCTCGCTGTGCTGAGTTTGTAAATGTTCTCTGTGGGCTTCATACCAGCTCCATGTAAAAACTGAATGGATTCATGGATGGAAAATAAGATTTATGAATATAACGGAGGACATTTAGCAGGTTTTTGCTCCAAAAAAGGATGTTAGGAAAATAGGGAGAGGAAATGATCTAATGTGGCGCCCCCTATAGGGAGCTGTTAGCAGGATGCCTGCTCCGACTTTCTCGCTCACACGGTGAACCAAGAGCTTAAGCAACCACATAAAACTTTTTCTTATTCATTTATTTATTTATTTATTTATTTTTGACATTGCAAGCTTGACCAGAATTTCCATGTGTGCATTCTTTGGAGCTTACAATAACCATTATATGCTTGACACACAAACGCCTTTACAAAAAGAATGCTTTAAAGTAGAATACCTTTCAATATAAATCAGGTAAAATTTAAAAGGCAGCTGAACTTCAACAATTAAAGTATAAAAAACTTTATTTAGGCAAATGTTTCGCATTCACATTTCAGACAAAGACTTTTCTTAGTGGCTTAATGGAATTCAACCAATCTTTCTACATCCTCATATATTTCTCAAAAATAATCGAAAGATTAATGGATTTGCAAAATAATCGTTAGTTGCAGCCCTACAAAAATAAAAAAAAATAAAAAACCTGAGCTCCTCTGAACTGAAGGTATCTCTGACTGCTTCTCTTCCACTCTCTGACATTAAGTTATTGTCCTTCATTTCCTTTAAAGGTTCAACAATTCTATGTTCAGGTTATGTTTTCTTAGTATATGTAGTTTTATGTAGGTTCTGTTGATTGAAGGTTAAGGTCCAGCTTTGAAAGGTGACCTGTGACAGTTCTGGTTCCTTGGGTCCATGTTGAGCCTCATAGATCTCCTGTTTAGTTTCCTTTCTGTGTTCATAGCTGATTGCTGTACACATCCAGCAATATCTTCAACAGAAAACAGCTGAAGTAAGAGGTGTTGCTCAAAGCCAGGGCCAGGCCTCAGTGCTTGGCTGTGCTCTATCATTTCAGGAAAATGTGGATTAATAGATGCCCTCCTGGAAGGCCAGTGAGCAGCAGATCAGCAGCGCCTTCAGTGCCAACAAACATGGCGGATTGGCAGTGATACACAGACACACAGTGGCTGCCAGCAGCAGCAACATGACCATCAGGCTCCTGGTTTGTCCTTCAGAGTCGTTGGCACATGGAAAAACTCTGCTTGTCCAAACTGGATGCTGCTAATCAGCGTTAGCATGAGGGAAACACTTTCTGATAGCAACATTGGCACACAGTGTGAAACTAAATAACAAATTCAATGTTTGGTGACATTCTGTGGTGTCCAGACTCAGCTGCAGTCTTTTACTCTATTAGGTCTTTGAACCCAAAAAACCTTTTTCAGAGGGAAGTGCTCCTTCCTTGCGCTTTACCTGTCAAGGACTCGAAACCTTGGTTACAATATTCAAAACAGACAGATCTGGATGAGTTAGAAAAGTCTTTTTCGAACACTCAGCGTGCGGCTGCTCGTCAACTAGAGCGCATAAACCAGATCCTCTGGTTCAGAGTTCAGTCCAATCCCCAGAGATGAATCCGAGAGGGAGATGTCATCCGCTTTTAAACCAAGTTCACGAACCAGAAGATCAGAGAGCCGATGAGGGACAGAACGGGAATCCAAGCACAGGTCAGTAACACAGTCCAGGTTCTATAAACCAGCAGAATCCAGGAATATAGTCCAGAACAGAGCAGATAAAAAGAGCAGACAGGGGTAAAGCAAAACCTGGGATCCACCGGGCAGAAACTGGTCAGAATCAGAACCAAGATCAGAACGCTAGAGTTACTCACACAGAAACGATTGAATAATCTGGCACTGGAAGCTGGAAAACACACAGCATATATGGAAGTTGGAAACAGGTGGATCAGATAAGCAGTAATACAAAAACGGGCAGAAGTAGCTAAACAGGTGAGTGGAATAAGTAATCAAGCCAGCCATCAGCGCCAGCATCATGACATTACCCTGACCTGTAAATCTTTGACGTGTTATAAGAGCATACAGCTGAGCAGTAAACCATATTAAAATCTATTTTCCTGTGGCACCGCTCCGAGCACCACTGCTCTCAGTAACAGGAACATTTTCCTATACAAGGTTTGGAAATCATCTTTTTTTGTAGTGACTGTGACCTGGATGACTGAGAATCTGCACCAACATCTACTGATAGTACTTGTGTGTTTCCTTGAAAACACAGGATCATGCAGTTTCTCTCTTGGCTGCTCTTCTTAACCAGCCCTCCTGGTTACTGCTTTTCTGGACGTCCTGTCGTGGTTTTTAGGGTTGAATTTCTTTAGGCTGTACAATGTTTTCAATCATTGTACTCAGCTAGAGCTCAAACTGTATGATGAAACCACAGGGTTTAAAAGTTACCAGCTCACGATGTTTGTTCTTTCACTGCACGGCCTGACGCACTAATGTGATCTACCTGCTCACACATCCAAAGACCACGCATTGGACTCAGCGCTGAGAGATGGCGCTGGACGGACTCGTCAATCTGGAAGAAGAAGAACTCCCTTGTTTGTACATATGCAGTGCTAGAGGTTCTGGTAAATCAGCTCGTAGCTCTGCTCCAACAGCATGTTTTACCCACCAGCACCTCAGGAGGGCCGACTGAATTTCAAGCATGTTTGATGTTCTCCCAACCTTACGATTCCTGATCAAGAGGTGTTCGTGAGAGGCTGATTGCCCCTCTTCACCCCCTATATACTAAACAATGCAGGAAGCATGATGATGATAAAACTCGACCCGATCCAAAAGATTCTTGCACGACAGTGTATGCCCTGCTTCGACGCACATGAACATTTTTTGCTTTCTGACGTTGGAGTTCTCTGGGAGTTGCTTTTCTGGGAGACTGGCATCCATTTTCAAGGTTTTCATGTTTAAATGAAGCCTTTTTACCTTAGACTAATGGACTATCAATATGTTGGAGTTTATATCTGCCCCTAAGTCGAGCAAATGCATTGGTGGCTTCTCTAAAGCCATCATCAGTATTTCCTGAATGTTGATGCCGTGATTCACATGTTTGCTCCAGAGCAGCAATCTGCAGAGTTCTCCTTCTGTACCTGTGTTTCTAAGTAGCAGCAACCAACCGCCACATTCCTCTTTCTAATCCTTTTAAAGCATTTTTGTCCTCTCTGCTACCAATAATTTAAGTGGTGACAGTCTTGGCCATCTTACCCAGTATCTTTGTGACATGGGGGATTTATCTTGCAACAGTAAAAGGAAAGTTTTGTCCCTAAAAGGTCTTTAAAAGTTCCACCCTCTCTCTGTCGGTACATTAAATGCGGTTAGGTTTTTCGATCTGTTATCGAACCAGGCTTGGCACTGGCAGGTTCAATTCAATTCTCTCTCTGACGTTATTCTGTGGTTGTTGAAGAATACAGAGTCATTGGTCTGATTTCGTACAAATGGCCGTTTACTCTGCACAGAACTTAAGTTGTTATGAATACGTACTCTCAACCGCATCCCTCCGATATTGACAAATATCTGATGCTGCTGATGATTTTAATACGTCAGCATTAGTCTGGAAGTGGAATGATACCACAAATTTTATTTATACCATTATTTCCTAATCACTCAGTGTGGCTGGTAAAAATATTCAATTAACACAAGTGTCTTTACCTTGTGCTTATTCATTACGCTAACCAGAAGCGCATTCCCAGACAAATGAGCAGATTTCCAAGACAGTTTTAGTCATACAGCATCCTCCCCCCTGCATCTTTAAAGGAAATGTCCAGTCAGCAAGGAATATTCAATGGATCATTATTTATATCTAAAACTAATACTTTCGCAGTGATTTAATGCATTTAGCGTTAATCGGTTAAAAAAACTAAGAGAAAATAATAATTTTCATCGCGATCACCGAGTCTGGGAGAGGCCATTTTTGCCCAAATATAGTAA